GCACTCTCTCTCTCTCTCTCTCTCTCTCTCTCTCTCTCTCTCTCTCTCTCTCTCTCACACACACACACACACACACACACACACACACACACACGCGCGCGCACACACACACACACACACACACACACACACACACATACACACACAGATTCTCCTGTCTATTATGGGAGCGCCACCTGCTGGAAACTGGGTCCTAGTGTCCCATGAACATTGTGAATAAAGCACCAACCGGGACCCCACACACACTCTCTTCGAGTTGTGTATAGTGAACATGACAACCATACATACAGCATAATCACTACCTTACCCTTCCCGAACCACATAAAGAAACGAACTACGGGCTGCGCACCCGTGCCCTCACGGTAAGTCAATGTGTCTAGATCTTACCCCGAAGGCCAGCCTACCGCACTCTTTCCATGTTTCAACGTTCTCGGGCACAACAGCCTGGCACAAGGCTTTCATCCCATCATTTAACGAATCCCGATAGTCTACATCCCGACGACACGTCAGTGTGCTGTGGCATGTGCCATCTAGCAACACTGTCCAAAAGTCAAGTCAAATATCAGTACTTGCGCTTGCGGACCCTTGCTTCAGTGGCAAGATCCTACTGGGTTGTCCTACTGCGTTGCTTGCTTACAGCGATTGCGAAGCACGACCGCCGCGAAGATCAGAGGAAGTAAGCAAGCCATCCCCCTACGGTGGTTCCTGCCGCGCCCAAGGCGTTCAATGACCCGCAGGCAAAGCTGTCGCCTCTTCAGCTAAAGATAGTAAACCGCAGCTTCACCTGTAACCATGGGCTTCGCCGCGCTACATAGAGTAACCAATGGCGTGAAATGAAGAATGTATCTGCCCTTAGAACACGCAAACATGCCCGCTGCAGTGTTTGTCCTTTTCACATTTAATGTGTGGAATAGTGAAGCCCTATATCCCATATGCTATGCAACAGTACAACGTCTCGTTTCAAGTTCAGCGCACACACGTGCACAGGTCACATACACACGAAGGCAAGCGCACGCACATGCACACGAAGGCACGCGCACCCACACAGACGCACATAAAGACAAACACACAGACACACACACACACACACAGAGACACACGCAAACACACGCACAGGTCACATACACACGAAGGCAAGCACACGCACATGCACACGAAGGCACGCGCACCCACAAAGACGCCAACAAAGACAAACACAGACACACGCACACACACGCACACGCACACGCACACGCGCACACGCAGAGGCTATACCGTTGGCTACATTTGAGCCTCAGAAAGACGGCCAGCGTACAGGGGAAATTTGAAGGCACGCGCACCCACACAGACGCACACAAAAACAAACACACAGACACACGCACACGCGCGCACACAGCGCTTATACTGTTGGCTACATTTGAGCCTGAGAGTTAGAAAGAAGGCCATCTCAGTCGAATTTCCCCTGTACGAAGCTCCTCTGATACCATCAGCAAATCCATAACCGTCAATCACGAGGACGCGACGGATACATGCCTCATGTGTGATGGGCCATTAGCAATAACCGTCAGAAAGAGCTCAATCAGTTCCTTAACGGTCATGAAAGAGCCCTTTGAATTCGTGAACGGTCAGAGTGAGCTCGTTCAGTTGCTTAGTTATCAAAAAGAGCTCTTTCAGTTCTCCAAACTCCGCCAACTCAGCTCCTCGCAATTACACAGAGCAACCGGACTGTAGCCCCCCTCAGTAGATGTGGCTGTGTGTGTTTTAGCGCAAGAACGAAAAGAAATCACGCAAAGTGCAGCTCTTTTCTCCTGTGATCAACCATGCCAGTGCTGTAGTCGTTCAAATCCGAACACCAAAATTTAAGTAGTCCATTTCAGAAAAACAAAACTTTTTCAAGCCATTTCAGAACAAACAGAAAATTTGGCGAAGTAACATGTCAACTTCTCTACAACAGTCAAGAGTTTCGAATAAATGACCGTGTTAGGGACCAACAAAACCCGGTTCTCCAAGAACTTTAACATAATGCTAAACAAAAGCTGACTCCATAACGGTAAGTTATAAAATCCACGTAACAAACTCCTTCAGCTCTGAGCATGCAATGTTACTTAATAACCTTCTCCGCTTCATCACACCCACTTAACAGTAGTGTACAAGCACCACTTCAATTCAATTGAAACAGCCAAATCCGGACAGCGATTTCTCGCCAACTCCCACTGCCCGAACTTCCGTGTTTTGACCTCTCTCCCGCTCGCGCTGTCCAAACTTTCCTGCTTGCGACCGAAAGACGCATGCTTCCTTCCATAACAACCGAACCATCCCATAGCAGAAGAACATCAGCAGCACCGATAACAATCACCCCCTAAATATCTAGGCAAATGAAAGAAGCCATTTCTCTCTCTCTCTCTCTC